AGATAGCTACATCCTACCACCATAGGCAACTATGGCTCACTGGGTTGGGGGAAAGACAAAAGAGAAAATTAATGAAGTTACCATGGGACTAATCAAAGCTTCATACAAAACTGAAGCTACCGTACTCATAAGAGTCTTCTGTTAGGCTTAGAGAAATGCTGAAGTGATGCAGAATTAGCTTAGGAGGTGTGGGCAGAGTTAAAACAGGTATGACAAGAACCTGTAGGTAGTTACGGTGTATGTTCAACAATATGACAGGGAACTGCAAAGTTGTCATATTACAGCCTGGAAATAGAAGCCAGATAGTATATCCAGTGAATTCTGTATTCATAGCATTTTCTACCGATTTTTTCTCCTGCCTGCTGTAGCAAGTAGAACCACAGATGTGCTGCACAGTAGGCAGGAGAGGTAGAAGAAGACACAAGGGCTTGAAGACAGATGGAAGAACCCGTGGCTTTTGAGTCTTTTACTTAACCAAGGAATTTGAAAAGTATAGAGTCAGTCTCCAGGTTGTATCAGGGAGCCATCTTTAATGATTCACCTCACGAGCAGCATGAAGCTGGAAGCCAAGATGTTACGCTCACCGAATGGTATTTTTAAATTTGAGCAACAGGCCCCATATAATATCATGTGTTTGACAGCCCCCATTGTAAATATGGAGATTTAAAAATAAAAAATAAAAATCCTATCCTGCCTATTAAAAAAAAAATCTAATATAAAACCCAGGGGTTTATGAAGAAATGGATTATCCCCTGTTGTACTCTTCCTAAAAGAGCAGGCCTCTTGTTGGATAAAAAGGTGGCAGTGGTGGTCAGGGGTGGCTGGTGAGTCAGCTGTGGCCCTTCCTGGGGAGGAAAGATCTTGCCTTTGTGGTGCATGCCCTAGTAACATCAACATTAGATTAGTGCAATGTGCAGAAGAAGAAGAGTAGGAGGAGGAGGTTGGATTTATACCCCGCTCTTCACTACCCAAAGGAGGCTCAGCACAGGTTACAAACTCCTTTCCCTTCCCCTTCCCACAACAGACACCCTGTGAGGTAGGTGGGGCTGAGAGAGCTCTGACAGAAACGGCTTTTTTTCAAGAACAGCTGTGCCAGAACTACGGCTTGCCAAAGGTCATCCAGCAGGTACAAGTAGAGGAGTGGGGAATCAAACCCGGTTCTCCCAGATTAGAGTCCGCGCACTTAACCACTACACCGAACTGGTTCTCTGTACGTAGGGCTGCCCTTGAAGACTGCTGCATCCAGTGTGTTGACTGGATCCAGTGTGTTGACTGGAGTGGGTTGTAGGGTTCATATCAGTCCAGTCATGTTCCATCTACACTGGCTTCCAATTTGCATCCAGGCTCAATTCAGGGTGCTGGTTATTGACCTTTAAAGCCCTGTACAGCCTTGTACCAGCACCTTAAGGACTGCCTTCTTCCGTATGAATCTACCCATTCAGTTCAACTGTCTTTGGATACCCTGCTTCAGTTGCCCCCACTATCTGAGGCTAGATGGGTGGCACCAAAGCTTTGCAAGTCAACTCTCTCTCCAGGGGGATTTTGTCTGTTTCCTTCTATCTGTGTCTTCCGCCCGTGGGTGAAGACTTTTTGTCCCCCATGACAGTTACTGGCCCTCCTCTCTGGTTTTTGTGTTGTATGCTCGTGTTTTTGTTGAATTGCTTTATACTTTTAAAGGTTGTTTTTAACTGTTCAAATGCTTTCATGTTTGCCACCATGGGGACCCTGACTGGAGGAAAAGATGGCACAAAAATGTTTTAAAGAAATCAATAAATTCCACAGTTCTTTGGATTCCTGCCCATATGCAACAATTATAGGTTTCTTATGTGAAATGGAAGTATGTGTAGGTCACACCTAAGCCTCAGAAGCTTTCACCCTAATATAAACACAAGTATGAAAGAGTCAAAGAGATGTAGGAGAAAGTGGATCCCAGATGCAAGGGAGTGTCATCAATAGTGTTAACTGTTACCTCTAGGCTAGCAACAGTTGCATGCTATCTAATTATGAAAGGATTTATCAATATTGCTGGGAACCCAGATGCCAATGTTTATGAGTAAAGAGGAGTTTTGTGGCACCCTAAAATACTAATATGCTTTTATTCTAGCATAAACATTCATGGATTAGAGTGCACTTCACTCTAATTAGAGTGCACAAAGTGGGTCCTCCTTTCTAGGGAGGTGTTATACATGAGCTTGTGATTTTCCTTTGCAACCTCATACTGTATAAATGCCTGCCTAGTGAGGGCTCAGTACATCTGATGAAGTGCACTCTAATCCATGCAAGTTTATGCTGGACCAAAAACTTGTTGGTCTTTGAGACGCCACAACAAGGCTTCTGTTTATTTTTACTGCAGCAGGCTAATATGATGGTCACCCTAGTGTTATAATATTTTTGAGTTACTCTTCCCACGTACTTTTTGTAATCCTGAATTTTAACATAAATATCTTTTTCAGTTTTCACTTGCCTGTGTGCGTTATTTGATCAGGCACACAAGAATTCATATTTGGATTACAGTACAATATTGAGATGCCTTCTCTGGTGTTTAGGGTTTGCTCTATGACTTCTCTCTAAAGGAAAGGAGTATTTATTGTTTTAGGTCTGTAGTTTTTACAGTTGTTCCCTTGTGTGGATTTTATTGTTGCTACCCACCTTGGTTCATAGTTATCTGGGGGAAAGGGATACTTATACATCTTTAAAATAAATAAAACAGATCCCCACCAATCATCTTGCTCACTATAATTCCAGAAGTGTGCCACCACAGGAAGATGATGGATCAGGCACAGCATGGCCTGACCCTTTGCAGGTGCCCAGGCCAATTACTTAAGAGTTGTGGCTTGGCCTCTCCTGTCTGCTGATTGCTGGGAAGCCGCCATTTTGAAATGTGTTGCCTAAACCTTTCTCTCCTGGTAAGCATTGGGAGTGGTGAGTGAAATCCCCTTGGTTCAATTCTGAATGGGCTGCCGCTTGAGTAATATGAGCTGTTTTCCAAACAAACATATTGTGTTTTTCTCAGACTATTTTAAAACTTGGAAGCTCTGTTATGCTTCTAATGACATCAGGAGTCTGATGGGCCCTAAATGCCTCCCTCTCAAGAGTGCCTTACCTCTCTGCAAGGCCTCTATTCTTCCTTTGTCTCTTGAGCAGAGAAACAGCAGTGTCCCTAGATCAAGATGTTTCCAGAGTGTCTGGCATTGCTGCAGGATACTTAGACACAGTGCCTTTTAGTAATCAAAGAGATGCAAGTAACTTGCCATGCTAAGTGGGCATGATCTGGTCATGCCTCCCGCTGTCAGTGGGTTCCTCCATAACCCTGATCCATCTGCCGCCCACCTCCTCCTTGGATCTCCTGAAGTGCTTTGGCAACTGCACCTTCTGCACAGGCACCATGAAGCATTTCATGTTTGGCCTTGGGATCAGGGCTGGAAGTGTGCAGCAGTCAGGGAGTGTGTGCCCATGTATGTGAGTGTGCTTGCCGCCCTGCCTGCTTGCATGAGCACATGTGAATGCATGTGTGTGTGTGTCTCTGTCTCTCTCCCATCTGCCACCCAAACTCACCCAAGGCTGAGGTCTACCAGGGGCCGGGCTGGGCCAATCCATTCTGCTGGGGTCCTGAGCTGATGGAGCAGGCACAGCATGGCCTGACCCTTTGCTGGTGCCCAGGCCAATTTCTTAAGAGTTGTGGCTTGGTCTCTCCTGTCTGCTGATTGCTGGGAAGCCCAAGCTTGGCCCACCTGATCCTATCCTGGGCTGTTCTTCCCTGTGTGGTGCCTGCTGATGATGTCAGCAGGTACAGTGGAGTATACTGATCGCCCTGTTCACTGTCAGCCCATCTGCTGCCTTCTCTACCACCCTCTGGACGGCGGCCTTGTTCTTTGCCAGCAAAAAAGGTTCTATCATTGTGAAAAGTTTGGACTTAAAGGTTACAAGATTGGGCCTCCTAAACACAATCAGTACTGATATATGCCTACATAACAAGCTGCTGTTCTTTCTCTCGCTTACCTCATGAGGCCCAGAGTGCAAGCTGGTCTTTTGCCTCAGCAAGTGGCCAGCACCATCAGACATTCACCTGAAAGGATGGGCTGATTCTCTCACCTCAAGGAACTAGGCTGGATGTGTTATGCGGGTTTATTTTGAACTGTGGCAGACTTGTCACCTCTTTATGCAATTTGTTTTCCATATCAGGATGTTTCAGTCACGTCAGGACAGCTCTGTCTGAAGTAACTGTAGCAACCAGGAACTCTAGTTGAGTCAGCTGCTGTTCTTCATTTAAGGAAGCAGAGCTCTGTCTAAATTTCCTCCCTCAAAAATGCCAGATGTTATTGTTTTCTGACTTAAATCCTCTTTTGAAGGTGTTGCATGAAAGGCTTGTCTTGACTTGTTACTTTCAGTTGCTTAGAAAAAGTGTGGGTTGATACCTGTTAGAACTAGCATAAATTCAGAAGTACTAGAATAGAAATGGCAGGCGCTTGGTTTTGATTAACAAAATGTTTAAAGTTTGGAATAAATAAGTCTAATATGGTTGCTATAAAATGGTATTGATGTAGAAGGTTCATTGTGAATTATACTAGTAGCTAGATTTATTATTGCTAAGTTGTATATGTGTGGTTGATATTTTAAATTCTGCTTTAAACTCCAGTTATAGGAATTAGTGAAATCTGGGTTAAAATTGTTTAAGCATGTTAAGTGGGCATGATCTTGCCAAAGTTAAACACAGAAGTCTTGTTAATTTTGATGGGAGACTTATAAGCACTTGCTTTCAGTGGGAGAGATTTAAGCACATGCTTACTGTTATTCTCCCACTGATATTAGTAGGACTTCAGAGGGCTTAACTTTGGTTCTGCCCTACACAACATGTATTATGATCTAAGTTTTGCCTTTACTTTATAGCGAAAGCATTATTTGTGCTTCATGATGGAGCTTGGGAAGAAAACTAGAATTAACTATTACTGCATGACAATCCATATCTGGCTAGAACTTACTATATCTACAGAGCTGTGTTCATGTTCCAGGGACAGCTCACTGTGTATGGAAAATTTTACACAATTCTCCTGGAGGATGCTGAATTTTACTTTGTTTATAATGGCTCAACACAGAGACACGTGGTTTTTGCCAAGCGTGTGGCTGATGACACCCTTCAAACTATTATTCCAGGTGAGCATTCTTATTTATTATTATGTTATTTATTAATTATTATTTATCTGCTTCATTTATACCCTTCCTTTCTCCACAAAGGGGGAACCCAGGGTTGCTTCCATAATTTCCTTCTCCTCCGCTTTATCCTCACAACAACCCTGTGAGGTAGGTTAAGCTGAGAATGTGTGACTGGCCTAAGGTCACTATGTGCTTCGATGGTAGAGGGGGATTTTAGTCTGGGTATTCCAGATCCTAGTCCAACACTACAACCACCTGGCTCTCAGCCCACACGACATTGTCCTGTCCTCATATTTAAGAGGAGTTTTCTTTTGAGGGGAAAGGGTTCAATGAGTTATATTTTGATGGATGCCAAAAGCCAACCTTCCAGAGAAGCAGTGGTGTGATTGGTTTCCTTAGACAACATTTGCTGGCTGTAAAGTTTCCCTGCCCTCAAATTACTTCATTAGATTGGGCAAACAGTAGCACTGATGTGAAACTCCAGCAGTTGTTTATTACTGATATGTTACTTTTTTATATTAACCTTCTTCTGAGATGAACATCCCCCAGAATTATTCCAATAATTCTGTGAGGTAAATTAGACTGAGATATTGACTGGCCCACAGTCATCCATGGAGCTCCATGGCCAAGCATATTTGAATGTGGCTCTTCATAGTCCCAGTCTGACAATTGATTCTTGGGAGCTTTGGGGGCAAGGCACTATGTTTCCATGTCATGTCCTGATGAAATCTCAGATGTGACATTAGCAGGTGAGCCAATGCTCTGAAAACTCTGGGTGCGTTTTCAGAGCAACACCTAATATCATGTCTGGGTTTTGGCCAGATGTGGCATCAATATGTATTGCAATGTCATTTCTGCCCCCCACACTATTTTCCTGTAAGCCACAGAGGCAAGAGCAGGTGGGAGGGGCCCAGTGGTCAGAGAATGCCTGCCCCAAGCAGGCAAATGGTTTGTTTACACTTGATCCTTTATTCCAAACTGGCTCTCACTACAAGGCATATTACCTAGAGTATCCCTGTGAAAGCCATATTACTGCAGTGGATGGTTTAGGTATGTTGGCTATAATGTCAATATTGCTGTTCCACGGGTCAAGCAACTGGTGGTATGGGAGGCTCCTTCACTCCCATTTTTCCCCATAGAGTGATGACTGCAGTGATGTTTGGGACTGACTAAACAATCTGCATTAAGAACACAAGAAGAGCCCTGTTGGATCAGGCCAGTGGTGCACCTAGTCCAGCATCCTGTCTCACACAGTGGCCAACCAATTCCTTTGGAGGTCCAACAACACGGCATGAAGTCCAAGGTCTTCCCCTGATGTTGCCTCCTGGCTCTGGGAACCAGAGTTTTAGTGCCTATGAACGTGGAGGTTCCCCTCAGTTACCATGGCTAGTAGCCACTGTAGCACTTCTCAGACTGGCGTCTGACCATCCCATCAGAAAAGGGACTGATGATCTTACCAAAACAAGCATGACTGTGGGACCCATTTACATTTAGGGCCACAGTAGGGAGCATGGGCAGCAATACCTGGTTAGAGCAGCTGAGGCAGCCACCAGAGCCTCTGACCTTTTGTGAGAGCCCAGGTCTCATGCAAGGGTAGAGGCCTCCATGAGGCATAGGTGGCTTGCTGTATCGCTCTTTGAAAAGGGCTGGGAGGTGATGGAGGACTCTCTCTCTCTCCCACCCAGACAAGCAGCAGGTGGGGGCAGAGAGGAAGAAGAAGGAATGGTTACCAGTTAATCCCCCTCCTGTTCTGATGTACAGGGGCTGTCTGGTACATGGCTGGTGCAGGCAAGAGAGGGATTGGAGGGTTTATGAAAATGTCTAAAAAATGGGGAATTGGGTTGCTACATTTGGAGAACTGCAAACTTTTACCATGCCAACCATCAAAAGCACACAAAGCAAATCAGTGAGGAGGAAGTCCTTTCCAACCTTGATTAGTGGCAGCCTCTATGTGTTCATCTCTGTGTGCTTTCACATTGCCCACAGCCTCTCAAGTTCATTGTTGCTGTCTTCAGTGATTGGCATTTTTTTGAGGAAGTTGGAATGGTAAACGCAGTATTGTGTTACATTTGTTTTTTAATTGCAGATGGAAATTTGGTAGGATTTAAATTATGAAACTTGTTTGTGTCTTTTGTAACTTTGTAAGATATAAAAAAACAAATAAAATGGAATGGTGTGCCCACATGCCCATCCCAGTCCTTATGCTTGCTTGACTGTAAAATTACAGAATGCACATAGTCCTCTCCTTAGTGTATCTGAACAAAAGGGAGGCAAATGATGTTTAAAAGTATTTTTTAAGAATGAGTAGAAAAGGATACTGGAGAGCTGCTGCCAGTCTGAGTAGGCAATGCTGACCTTGATGGCCTGATGCTCTGATCTAGTATAAGGCAGTTTCGTGTGATATTGTAACCAGTAAGTATGTTAGCACTGAATGTGTACTGTGCTAATGCCTCACCTTTTATGTACTTATTCAGCTCATGGAGAACCAGAAGATGTTTCCGTACGTGTGGTCATGTACACAAAAGAAGGCATGCCTGAGACTCTGGGCTACTCATCTGTTCACTATAAGCAGAACACAGCTTCGGAGGTAGCATGTTTTCTGATGAGCCAAGCTGATTGCCTTACTCCCTCTAGTCACCACACACTTCTCAGCAGGTTTGGCTTAATGGTGGAAGAGTTTCAATCACTGGATCATGACATTATGCTAGCGATGGCTCACAAAGGGATCCCACCTGTTGGGGACATCACTGGGAATTGTTCACAAGATGGTACGCGATTCTCTGTTTTTCTGCTTTATTTTGCCTATTTATAGTTTGTGTAGGGTTCATACTGTTAATTTAAAAAGGAGTCCAGCAGCACTTTAAAGACCAGCAAAAATTATTCAAGAATAAAAAGATTTTATGAGTCAGCGCCCAACAGATGCCCAACTGTATATCCATTAGGCAGATGCATTTTAAGGTACAAACAGCCGAACGGGGGAGGTTGCAAAGGCAGAACAATTTAAAACAAGATCCAATTAAAAGATTCCTATATTTCTCAAGAGTAGGTGAGAATCACTCCTAACTGCTAACAAACAGATAAAATGAGATTCACATACAATCTAATCCAGGAGAATACAAAGTGAGACAAGAGAAACAGATCCAGTGAGAAAAGTATTAAGACCATATAGAGGTTATCTGAATAGATACTGTAATGTGTACAACCAACCAGTTTATTTCCCTGTGAGACTTGGGCCATTTTTGTGATATTTGTTTATTTACAAATATGCAAGCTGAACATGAAGGAGGAAGCCAGACAGACAGAGCTAGTCTGTAAAACATTATTAGTTCTCTGGAACACACGTCCTTGGAAGCCCCAGGCCTGCTCCTACCAGGCAGCTGCAAAACTTTGTTCTCCTTCCTTGTTGGCTACATTCCAACTCCAAATGGTTTTCTTGTTAGCTTCCAACTGGGCGTGTGGGATATCCAGTACCTAGTGGCTTGTGAAGGAAGTCTCTTTGAGCCATTATAAGCTAACAAAAAGCCATATTCACCAAGCAATAAAGACACTGACTATCAGTGCTAGTGTGCAATAAATTAATAAATGTATTTGTACAAAATATGGTTGTTCCTTCACATAAAGTATTACTGGAGTGGTGTGAACACCACTTTTCTGTAACTGAATTCCCTATGGGTTAGGTAAATTACTTAGTTCCTTCCCACAGCAGTATCTGTGAAATATGAATCCGCCCCCAAGAATGAATTATTAGATATTCTGAATTGCTGTATTTTACATTGCTGCTATTATGTGAAATTTGTCATACAGATAAGAAAATCCATACCTTTAGTTGTTCCATTAGTGTCACAAAACGTTCATAATAGTTGCTGTGATTCAGTCTCTGTTTCTATTTCTTTTTGAACAAAACCCTTTGTTTTCTTAGTTGGTTTAGCTCAGTTTGTGTTACTAACAGGACTATCAGAAGAAGAGTTACACCCTTCTAAGTTGTCTGAAGTCAGTGGATTTAGAGGAGTGTAATTCCTTAGGATGGCACCGTGTAAGCTTTGGCCATTGAAACAAAATGAAAATGGTGGAAATAAAATGACTCCACCCTGATTCCAAGCTGATGAAGTCTTTTGGTCTGCAATTGTTGTTATAGAAACAAAAGAAGACATCTGCTGTCATGAAACAGTTAAAGGAATGTTGCTGTACAGGAATTTGAGTTAACTAACAGCTTATTTACTAAAATACTACCAACAATAATATGCCAATGATTGTTTTAACCTTATTAACCATGATTTGCATTGAAACATGTTATAACAAAGGTAGGGAATATAATTAAAGACCTATGCATTGTTTAAGCTAGGTATATTTAAATTCATTTTAGAGGAAGTAGAAGAATGTTTGAAATGACATTGGCACATTGGTATGAAGGCCAATCATGTGCATAAAATCAAAGCTTCTCAGTGCATACCCACCCAAGCCCTCGAACACCTGCAGCACTCAAAACAAAAGATCTAAGTCTGTTTAAGCTTGGTGCATAGTAAACATACAATTGGGATTGTCTGGCAAGCATTTTAAGTATTCGAAGCCTGCCTTTCAATACTATGATTCCCTAGGGTGCTTACAAATACTGCTTTCAGAGCATCCTTTCCTTCAAGTCTGCAATTTGGCCAAAGAGAAAAATGGTTGCAAAGAGTCATGAATATATAGTGTGGAACTCGATGCATGAGAGAACAAGTTTTGGATTCAAGCGCCTGAGGAATACTAGGCCATTAGTTTGATAACAGAAGGATATCAGACTGCTGATAGTCACTGCAGGCCTCTAGGGAAAATTCCCCTAGGCTCCCCTTCACACAACCAATACCCAACGCCAATGCTATATGAAAACATGAGTTGCTTTCCACATAAATAATAACACAGGTTATACTTGTATGTGATTTGCTCATTGCTTGTTGCAAAAGGCTGTGGCAGAAACCTCCCCCCCCCCGTATTTAAAATGGCAGTCAACTAACTCAGGCCCATGTGCCAGAATGGGAACTTTTCCATTTACAAGCAAATAGGAAGGGCAAAAAGCAGGTACAAAAGCAGGTATAATGCAAAGGCAGGTTTCAGACTCTAGCATGGTTCCCTCAGCTAATGTGGTCTTTGCCACTGTGATTTCTAACAGGTACCCCATGTGGCACTGACTAGACATAAAGGAAATTTCTCATTTACGTATCACCAATCAGATCTCTGACACGTAGAGAGGGGAATCCTTGCCTTTGGATGAAAATGAAGCAGGCTAAAGTGAGCTTAAGAAAGCTGGGGCTTGTGAAAGTTGGGAACAGGCTGCACATAATAGTATGTAGGTGGGATCCAAAATGCTGCACAAAGAGATTCTGTGCATGTACTGGGGCTTCTGAAGCCGCCCTTCCTGCCAAAAGGCTTCACGCTACCCAGAAAGCCATTTTTGAAATGCTGGAGTACTCTGGAGTGATGCAGGATGAGGAAAAGCATTGTTGGTGGCTGAGAAGGTATGGATTCTGATATGCACTCAGATGCTCATTAGGGGCCTTTGGATCACAGCCTGTGCCTTCTGTAATAAAGTTCAGGTGAAATGTGTGTGGTTCCAGGTTTTATTATGAACTCCAACATGGGAGTGGTGTCTGAAAAATATGGTGAAAGACAGTGGTTTCTCATTTATTTACATTAATATATTGTTCTTCAGTGTTTTTTGGTGTGTTAACACAAGGATGCTTAACCTTTCAACTGGTAAGATGTTGTTTTTCTCCCTGGATAGCTCATTTGATTCTTTTGTGATTGTGTTGTGTGGCTGGCAATGAATGATGGAACCCCACCCTTCCCCCATGCCGTGTTACAACTCTTTAATTCGCTTTTATAACTTGTTTTTCAAATGATTTGCCACCATGTGGCCTTGTACTCTATAGTATTATTGTGAGGAGAAAATGACACAAGTCTAAAAGCAAAATCTGGAGTAGTCCTTGATCAGTTGTGCTTTGGTAGGGAGTCCAATTAAATTCTCAAGGCAATATGTGCATAATGCAGGTGATGCCGATGGAAGGGTTGCCAGCTCTGGGTTAAGAAATTCGTGGGGATTTGGGGATGAAGTTTGGGGAGGGGAGAGTCCTCAGTGGGGTATAATGACATAGAGTCCACCCTCTGAAACAGCCCTTTTCTCCAGGGGAACTGATCTCTGTAGTCTGGAGATCAGCTGTAATTCTGGGAGATCTCCAGGCCCCGCCTGGAGGTTGGTAACCCTAGATGATGACAAAGTTTTCCTGTACTCTGGCACACCACTTCAGGAGGGCTCTTTTGTTCTGTAACAATAATAAGTCTCAAATGCTCTCAAGGTCACCCTGTTCTGCCTGGCCTCTGCTTGCTGCTCCATTTTGTAACCTTCTCTTTTTCTAATTTTCTCTCATTTTTCATTGATAGGCAGTTGTCCCATTTTCCTTACACGCATCCATCCATGTAGCAGAAGGGTCTGTAGTACTATGGTCATCTCTTCCCTGCCCTCCTTGTATAGAAAACAATCTCTTTTTTCCAACCTATCATGTTTATCAGTAGTATTAATAATTACAAAATTTGTATTCCACCTTTCTGCCCTCACATGGACCACCAAGGTGGCTAACAATTGATAAAATCACATTTTTAAACCATTAAAAAACCACCCTCCCCAAATACACATAATTAAAACAATTAAAAACAGAGTTATAATACATATAAAACATTAAAACATCGATTAAAACATTGATTAGGAAAGAGAGTAGATTTGGACTTGGGGAAAGGAACGATGCAGGCGATCGTTTGGTACAATTTTGCCAAGAAAACTGCTTTCGAATCATGAATACTTGGTTCAAAAAGCACAAACATCGCTTATACACTTGGACCTCTCCAAACAAACTACACCATAATCAGATTGACTATATTCTATGCAATCATAGATGGACCAGTTTAGTACTCGCTGTCCAGACATATCCAGGTGCTGACTGTGGTTCAGACCATGAATTGTTGGTGTCTAAAATCAGAGTCAAACTATGCAACATCAGAAGGACAGCACCACTAAAGAAGTTTGACGTCACCGAAATCTCCCCCACATACACAATTGATGTAACAAATAGGTTTGAACAGCCAGACACGGCTGAGAAAACGCCTGATGAACTGTGGCAGGAAATTCATTCAACGATAGTCGAAATAGCAGCTGAACATATACCATACAAGAAGCCAGAGAAAAAGTGCAAGTGGCTCTCAGATGGAATCATAAAAATAGTAGAGCGAAGAAAAGCAACAAAAGCAGCAGGAAAATCGGAAGAAGCAAGAAGACTGAATGCAGATTTCCAGAGGGCAGCAAGGAAAGACAGTGAAGTTCTATGGGACGAGTATTGCAAACAGCTAGAAGAGGACTGCTTAAAGGGCCACACCAAGCTTGCATTTATGCAAGTCAAAAAGATTTGAGCACCATTTACTGCCTGTAAAGGCAAGCAAGGAAAAGAACTGTCCAACCAACAAGATGTCAAAAACAGATGGCGAGAATACACAGAAGAGCTGTACACTAGTAGCAAAGAAGCCGAACATCAGGATACCAAGGAAAGGGAAGCTGAGAAAGAACCAGTCATCCTTCAGGAAGAGATCATGTGGGCAATGAGCCAACTACCAAACAACAAGGCTCCAGGTGTTGACATCATCTCCGCAAAATTGCTGAGGACTGTACCACCTGCAGTCATCAGAGCCCTGTGTCAGAAAATTTAGGAAACCAACACATGGACATGGGACTGGAAATACTATGTGT